ATCCCAGCTACAGAGTTATTAGCAGAGCTTGCCTACACATCCAACTCGTAGCCACCCTTTCAAAAAGTTTCAGATCTTATGACTGACTTCACATCCTTGGCCCTTGGATCATTAAAAACAAAAAGTATCGCTTGTCTGTTGGCTTTTATTATATAAAGTGCAACTTGTTTCCAGTAAGAGAAAACTACTTTGAAAGTATAATGTCCCGGGTGAGTCTGAATACTGAAGGTCAGGAGTAGCTGCAGAGGCACCGGGGAGCATGAAGGGATGATGTGAAGTCACACTGAAGTCTTAAATAGATTCCTGTGGCTGCAGACATAGCTTGGCTGCAGCTGGCACTTTGCAAAGACAACAGCAGTACCTCCCCCACCCCCCCTCAACCAACTTGTCAGCTTTGACCGTGCCCGTGGGTTTCTTTACACTTTCTTATTTTCTCTGACAGCATAATCCATCTTCTAAACATAACGCAGTAGGCCGTACACGTCTTAACCTTTGGCTTAGTGTACTTGTACACGATGATGATGAAACATGGAGTACGAGACAGGAACGCCACTCCATACCTTTGTGCTCTGGCTGGATCACAACAAGCAACAGGTTGCAACAACCGTTGGGGTCATGTTTCATTACATTACGTTACATTACAGTCATTTAGCAGACGCTTTTATCCAAAGCGACTTACAATAAGTGTATTCAACATCGGTTTTCGAGAGAACAACTAGTCACCAGAAGTCATAAGTGCATCTCCTTTCTTCAAACAAGCATCTAAGAGCATAAACCAGAGCCAACAAACGAATGCAATAAGTGCCACAAACTAATATGAATACAATAAGTGCAATAAGCTAGTATGAATACAATAGATGCTAAGTGGAAGGCTAAGGGTAGGCCTTCTTGAAGAGGTCAGTTTTCAGCCTGCGCCGAAAGATGGGCAGCGACTCCGCTGTCCTGACGTCAGTGGGGAGTAATGTTGCACGGTGTATTGATACTAAAAAGGTACCGCGGTACCCGTCCGTTAAAAAACGATACGATTTTGCATATTTTTAGTATCGATACTTTATTAAAATAGCGCGCGATCAGAGCGCACTCACTGTTCCGCTCCCTGTCATGCTGCCTTCAGGCAATGACTGCAAGGGGGTGGGGCTGCCCAGTGCTCACACACGCAACAGGCAGCGCTCACTCACAGTGAGTGTTCGCAGGGGAGACATGGCCTCAAAAAATATGCCAGAAGTGAAATCTGGAAGTACTTTGGCTACATTGCAGACAGTGAAGGAAAGCCCACTGACATACAGAGACCCGTCTGCAAAACGTGTTTCAAAGCCACACAGACCAACGGAGGCAACACGTCAAACATGGCAAAGCACCTTTCAGCATTGTTTATTCACCCACTCCCACAGACAGTCAAACAGATGCCAGCAGAGTCAGCAGCAACACAGAGACGGAGTTCCCTTCTAGCTGTGTGAAAGCCAGCGGAAATATGATCACTCTGATGAACAATAAATAAGTTATACTGCACTACTACCACCACTTACAATTCATGCCATTGTCTATAGGTTTATGTTCACATGTATGTATGTATGTATGTATGTATACTTTTTCTCTCGGATATATATTTATACTTATATTGTATATAGCCTGGGCAGGAACAAGCTGGTAAAAAAGGGAACCATACAGATGTTTTATTTATTACTATTATAGATAAATATACCAGTATCGTATTTGTGGTATTGTATCGAATTCTGGTGTCGTAAGTATCGGGTATCATGATACTTATGGCAGGTATCGTATCGAAGTCATAATTTTGGTATCGTGACAACCCTAGTCAATGGTGATGGTCAGGTCTCGGTGAGGGCAACCCTTCCCCGGGATGAACAGTAGCTCGGTTTTGTCCAGGTTGAGCTTGAGGTGCTGTGTCATTATCCACTTCGAGATGTCAGCCAAGCACGCAGCGATGCGTGCCTCCACTTGAGTGTCACCGGGGGGAAATGACAAGACCAGCTGGGTGTCATCGGCATAACAATGGTAAGAGAAGTCATGCGAGTGAATAATAGAACCCAGAGATGTTGTGTAGAGCGAGAAGAGAAGGGGGCCCAGCACTGAGCCTTGCGGAACCCCCGTAGTCAGCATGCGTGGTTCCGACACGGCCCCCCTCCATGTCACCTTGTAGGATCGACCTGTCAGGTAGGATGCAAACAGGGAGAGTGCAGAGCCTGAGACGCCCATCCCCTCGAGGGTGGAGAGGAGGATCTGGTGGTTCAGTGTCAAGCGCCGCAGACAAGTTTCATATTGATATCATATTTGTCCTGTATTGGCGTACATGCAGAATTACATCGATAAGACATGAGAAACAAAGACGTATTGAGGGTACATGATCTTCGAAAAATAATAACAAGAATGCCAGGCTTGCTCAGTTTAGACTACACTTTTTATGAACAGGTAGAGTTCAGAAAGGTGTCTGTGGTTATGATAGTTGGAGCTTAAGGTTACTTAACTAATTATAATGTAATTAAAACAATGAGTTTATCTATAATTTTTGTTGTATATTGAGAAACCGGTCAGATTTAACAATCGGGGTACAACTAGCAATTATTTTACAATCAATTTTTTGAACTTTTTCCTGGAAATTGTGAAATTTCAGTTGTGCTCAATTGATTTATGTCTTCAAATTTCTTATTATGTCTAAAATATAATAAGTATTTAATTTAGAATTAGGTGAAATGTTGAAAGCATGCAAATCCTAAGTCTGAATATCTTAACTAACAGTGACGCAAGCAAAAAGACTCAATGATATCTTTCATACAGCAAACTATCCAAAGTTTGCTAGCATTAGCTAGCATTAGCCCCCATAAGCTACGCGTCATACCAGACCAAGCAAAGCTGTAGCAGCAAAACTGCTGAGTAGTGAATGTATCAAGTGTGTGTCTTGCTTACGCTTAATAATTAACATTTTAACTTGTCAGAGGATATGTTATCCCTTCTGTCAAAACACACAAGGTGTCACTTTAAATAATTCATTGATGACAAAAAAAGAGACTAATTTACTGTAGACGGAATTATACATGGTCTGCTTGCTACACACACACAAATATTGCTAAATGAATGTCTTATGCCATATCTGTGCAGAACATCTTTAGACGTAAACAGTGCACCGCATACTGCAGGATCACACCTGCAGGCCGTACATCAATCTGACCTATCGGCGTTAAACTTGTGGAATGCTGAGACTGTTGCTCCTCTCCGGTAGAACCGGCTTCACCACAGTGTGTAGGCGGCTGTGAGCTCTGTGTTGCTCTGTTCGCCCCTCCTTCGTGTGCAGTTGAGAAACAGTGATGTCATTCTGCAGTCCAACCCTGCTGTCATTCTGTGGGAGCTGCTCCTTTTCGAGTTTGACTGGACTGCTTTGTCCTTTGTTCTGTGGAGGTGGCCTCAATCAGTCTGTGGGCTTCCTGCAAGAACAGAAAAGTGGCAGCTTTCATTTTCTGACGAACAATGAAGTCCGTTTTGTTAAACAGCTGACACTGTTGTACTTCTTGTGCTGTTGTGTTAGCAGTAGTTCAAGCTTCACAGTCTGAGCATCGTTTTCCTTTTAGTGAGGAACGGTGGAGAAACATAGGAACAACAGTGATGCCATTTCTTAAAATGTACAACTGCTTATAGTTCAATTTTAATTAAATATTTAATTAAAATTGCAACAGGTTGCGTATGTCACGGCTCTGTGAGAGATGTTTGTAGTGCGAGTTGTGCAGAGAGCTACTACAATGTATTACAAAGTCAGTTGAGCTTGAATACATATTCTTTTCCTGAGGTTTAACTTTACTTTTGTATAATACAATACCAGACACAATGCTTTCAATATGATAATTAATTTCCACAGAGTAACACATTCTTATTCGGTGACTAATGTTCTTGTTGTATAACCTCCTAGAAAGCAGCACAAAAACAACCTGACTCCTTGAGCTAGTTTTACGCAACTCATCACCCCCAGGGCTGTTAGTTCCAGACGTCCCAGAATGCCTCTCATTCCTGGTGCCTGTGCACAGTCCTCTGAGAGCAAACCTGATGGTATTATTGCCTAGGGTGTAGCTGCACATGTTTTTTCAGACTGTTACACATGTCTCTACCTCTGGCCGCTGAGGACTCTGCCTTTCTCATTGGCACTTGCAACCGTTGCATCATAAGTTTATTTCCCCCCAACTTTTTTTGGCTAATGTTGCTCCACACTATTGCTTTTCTCCCTTTCCAATAGACCAAACAGTGTTTTGGAAAACAAACTGCTCTAGAATGAGGCAGCGTGCCTCAATCCTCTGTTGGTGCTACTCAGCATCCAGTCAGTCAAGTCGGACCACCTGCGCTGTGTAATTGTTCTGAGCGCTGGGAAATGAAAGTGAATAATAGCAATAACTGTAAACTGAAAGCTAAGCATTGAGTGGCTGATGGAGCTGAACTCAAATCAGTGAATCATTACTTCGGGCATTGCTTATGAAGTCAGTACAGCTATTGTTTGTGTTGTGAACACAGTGTGTTGGACTTATTATGCTGGTGCTGCTGGGAGACGAGCGGTTAGAGAAGCAGACTTTTGGTTTGGGCACAAGTGACACTCACTACTCCCATAGTGGTGAAGTACATAAAGGAGAAGTCCCCCTTTGAAAGCATGATGTCATCATCTTGTGACGTGCATAAAGTGTAGTTACACAATGTTCATGGTGAATTACGAACTGATTAGTTGCCGTTTGTTGCTCACGTGTGTCACGATGCTCACGTGTCGCGTTGCTCTGGGGCTTATTTTTGTGTCTTCTTTCATATCTTAGCTTTGCACTATTTTTGTCACATTTCTACTATTTCATCTGTTTGACTCTTCACATTTGTTTCCTTGTGATTGGATGAATATTAAGCAGATGCATTGCTTAAAAAGACCAATCATAATCAACACATTATGCCGCCATGTAGGTAAAGGCAATGAGAAGTCAAGTAAAAGGTTAATCTTGGATCTTTTTTTGTGTTCACAGGAAGAAGTCCTTTCTCTTTGCTGCGCTCTATGTTGCCTTTATCCTCGGTGGCCGCCATGTCATGAAACAGAGGGAGAAGTTTGAGTTGAGGAAACCGCTGGTGCTATGGTCGCTCACACTAGCTGTATTCAGGTGAGAAAGCACTAACATTATTAAAAAGCTCCAAATAACTATCAACTTTCAAACACAAAGGGTAAACCTAAATATTTAGGCCAACAGTTTCATCATTTTGTCTCCTTGTTAAATGACATTGTGTCTTCAGCCATTCGTGACATTCCCAAACATTTCTTGAGCTTAACTTTTCACAAAGTGTCCATTTCTTATTTATATTTTTAACTTTATGACGGTAAAAATACAATGTGTAATAACTTTGTGATTATATAAATATGAGGCCTCTCATTGTTGGTGTATTGTCTATATAGTATGCATTTTTTTTTTCCATCCATAATGCCAAGTTCATCTGTCACATCAGATACTACCAGCAACAGAGGGAAGCAGGTGATGTGACGTTATGGAGCCATAGCACCTCTTTACACATCCAGTACATAGAGTGTAACGTTAGTCATTGTGTCATGGTGTATTTCAAACAACTAAAAATCCAGTTCAGTTCACAAGTGATTCTGAAAAGATAGGTTTGTATCGGGGGGGGGGGGAGAAACAAAAATGCATATTTTTGCACAATATTAAAGCTGCACACACATTTGGCATCGACTTCACATATCATCTACTTTAATATATGATACACATTTTGCGACTTCAGTAATTTCTCACATCTTCTTTGTCCTTGTAGTATATTCGGTGCCATCCGTACTGGGAGCTACATGATGCACATCCTGATGACGAAAGGGCTCCAACAGTCCGTCTGTGACCAGGGCTTCTACAACGGGCCTGTCAGCAAGTTCTGGGCATACGCCTTCGTACTCAGTAAAGCACCAGAACTGGGTAAGTCGAGACCTTTTTATAGCATTACTCACTGTGTCCGTGTATAATGTATAGTTTACCAAAAACCACCGTTCTTTAGTCAATTAACAGACCGCCAAGTAAGGTTCCGTTTGGATGAATTTCATTGTGTCATAATATCGTACATGAAGCTGCTGCTCTTTAGTTAGGCTGCTTTCAGACAGCTAAGGTATTACCTAATGTCAAAGGCATGTTAGTGAATTACAATAACGCAGTCATCCATTCATTCCAGCTGTTCTGTCACCAGTGGTAGTGTAACCCAATGTCAGACTAAACACGTGCACATCAGGTATTACAAGCAGGCCTGTCGTATTGCACTGCACCAAAGTGTAACCGAACAGATGGCATGCACTTGCCGACTGTTTTACCAAATGCACAAAGCGGTCTTATAGTAAGTAAGGAGTGCCACTATTGGTCATTGTAGAACCATTTAAAACAAGTGTATGTTTACTATACATGTTCTCCTAAACAACCAAACCTCCTCCACCGTGCCTGCAGGCGACACACTCTTCATCGTCCTGAGGAAACAGAAGCTCATCTTCCTCCACTGGTACCACCACATCACCGTGCTACTCTACTCCTGGTACTCCTACAAAGACATGGTGGCCGGCGGCGGATGGTTCATGACAATGAACTACTTGGTCCACGCCGTCATGTACTCTTATTACGCCCTGCGGGCGGCCGGCTTCAAAGTGTCACGCAAGTTCGCCATGTTCATCACGCTGACCCAGATCACCCAGATGCTGATGGGCTGCGTGGTCAACTACCTGGTGTACTCGTGGATGCAGCAGGGCCAGGAGTGTCCATCCCACATGCAGAACATTGTGTGGTCCTCCCTCATGTACCTCAGCTACTTTGTGCTCTTTATCCAGTTCTTCTACGAGGCCTACTTTGGCAAGTCCAAATTATCGGCCTCGGCCGTCACCAAGAAGAGTGAGTAGACAAATGCCATGAGTATGGGAAGAGGGGAGATAATGAAGAAAAAGGGAGTTTGAAATGGAGGAGCAGGGACCAGTGACTTGAGATAAACTGTTAGCGGTGAGGGGTTGTTGGAATATTAGACGGGTGATTCAGAGGTGAGGGTGGGGGTTGGGAGGGTCAAGAGGATGGCTGGTGTTTGTGCTTGAGCATTACTACTAATGTGCAGATCTAAAATGCCTCAAGGGACGTAGCGTCTCCGTTAAGGGGTGCCGAGGAAGCAGCGCCGCCATGATCAGAGCCATCGTGACTTGTCCACCTTTAAAATCCCTTTTATTTTAAAAATTCATCATGAAAATTTTTTTTATAACCTAAAATGTAACAAAAGGACAAAAAAAAATCCCATCTGCCACAAGCATATGTTTACTTGATATTAAATAAATAAATAAATTGGTACATATGAAGATGGATGGAGTCGACATTAACTTGAGCCATCTGAATATGTTTCTGTCTGTTGTCAGTGTTTGTTGTTTTGGTCAAAGAAGACGTTTGAGACACTGGTGAGAGTTGGTGGTGGATGTGAACTGACGGGGTGAATGGCACTGTATCTTCTGTGTCTTACATTGCAAAATGCGATATTTTCTCAGGTCTTTGGGTTATCTCTTTCTTAATATAATATGCATATCAAGACAAAGTGGACATGTTTAACATCAGCACCGGTTTACAGTATGGAAATGTATCCAGTATTGGCCGTATAGTTGAGAAAAGTGTGAATGAAGCTGATTGGACGGACTGCCTCAGATGATCGCTCTGCTCCTGAGCATGATGGGGAAACGGATGCTGACAGTGCCCTGCTTCATCACTCGTCATGACCTCGCAGAAGTTGCCGACCACACTTGGAAAATGACTTGCCATTGATTTCCAAATGCATCTCCGTGGTGAAGGGCCCCTACCAGTGAAGAAACCTCGTATGTGAGACACTGAAGGCTTAAATGGAGGACAAAAATATTTGTTTAGAAAAAGAAGAAATCAAACATGCAAATTGTCGAAATCTGCTGGATTGACTTTGAAAAATATTATGTATTCTTAATGGTGTCTGTTGTGCTATTGTGCATTTGCACTGTATCAATGTCAAAAACAATTGTTGCTGAAAAATGTAACGTATGAACAAAGAGTGCAAACTGTGACACGTGTCTGTGGTGTGTATTTTCTTTTGTCTCGGCGTCAACATCTTGTTATACCTAACCCTTTTTTAATGCCGAACTCGGAAAGCCATGTTGGGCAGCAATAATTAGAAAGGTCTGAGGGTGATTATCTCATCCAGATATCTGTGCATGTCAAACGTCTTCTGTAGCAGTACGACAGTTAAGTTGCTGAGAGCTCTTAAGCATATCAAGGATTCCACTTTGTTATTTCACCTCGGTATCTAAAGTCAGTGTTTGTAAACACTGGACATAAGTTGCTGGTGGAAGGTATTAACAGCATACATTACATGATAATTGAGCTATTTGGCTCTATACCAACTAACTACTCTACAATTGCTGCTGGACCTGCATTCAAAAGTGTGCACATCCACTGTGCCTGACCTCCCCCTAGAGGTGCAACAGTGCAATAAAGCTTCATCATTGAGACCAAATATATCTGTGAAAAAAATGTTGAATCTCAACAAACTTCTTTTTACTATTTTGGTAACTTGATAACCTAACATCACTTTTTTATTCTTTCCTGTGATTAATAATACATCATTATGGCTGGATTCTACAATAGAGACTCCCCTTAGAGTGAAAACTTTACTCAAGTAAAGAAAATGTCCCACTTCCTACTATGTTAGTAATGCCATGTATTTGTAGTATACTAGATAAAGATACAGGAAGGGTTTATCCCAGTCTGATGTGTTTCTTTGACAAGCCAACCATTGTTTATTTGAGCTAAACAAAACAAAACATGGTAGCCGGAAGTAACCGTTTCCAGTTACGACAAAATACGTCATTTCCGGCTACCGGTGTCTATGTTATGAATCGACACGCAATTTGCTGTTAAAACTCTTAATTTCGCAGCAGACATATTTTTTTTGTCCGAGCAAATAAGAGTATTTAAGGAATCTGAACATGTCTTCAACAGCTGCGGTAAGTGCTGTAAACGACGTTTACGAAGATTTGAATGGAAGAAACAAGTGTAGCTGACATTAACGCCCCACCAACGTCAGAGGTGCCACTGTGCACGTGTGCAGGACGAACTTGCTTGTTGCGAAATACCAGCTTAAACAACACGAGGTGAGCTCACTATGACGTTCATATCATGACTCAGAAACAAAGCAATTCAAAGAAAATAAATGCACAAAATATGCTATCTAGTTTCCATTACTGCCGGTGTAATTCCAGCTTCCAATGCGTTAAAAGTTTTTTTTACTTTCTATGTAACATAAGACTTATTAGCAAATGTCCTCTTCTACATATTAGTTTTATCTTTAATGCACATTTTTACATTAGAAAAATGACACACAAGAAGCAATTTCATTGAAAAAGTTGAATAAATTGCTGCCACAGCTCGTAACACTGGTAATGTCCCAGTACCAGCTGGTTTTGGGTGAAGTGGTTTTCCTTGTACACTATCGCCATCTGCTGGATCAAAATGGGCGTGACAAATATGTCCTCATTGTATCTGAATACTCCTTGAGAAATCCAGTTGGAGTTATTTTTGATGATGTGCCACCAGAATTCTCACCTTTTAGCTTCTATTTGTGGCTTTGTTTCTCCTAACAGTGTCAGCAAGAGTGAGCATGTAAACAGCAAGAGCAACTTTCTGACATCTAGTTCACCAGAGCAACGACGAGACCAGGTGGGTCCTCCTGCCTGAAAGCACCAGCAACCCACTAAAGAAACCGTAGATCTTTAGCAATGGTTTCAGCTGACTGTACTGTCCCACGCTGGTCCTCAAATGTTTAAAAAGCATTTTCACCCTCACAAGAATGTAGCAGACACACTGGAGACTTGTTAGAGTTTGCATGTGTTACAGGTACCAAATAGCCAGATGATAAGTTTCTGTAAACAGGACACACAAATGACACAGGGCAATTTCACGTCTGTTCATCTCGCCTGCTCGTCAGAATGAGGAAACAGCATCGCGCCGTTGTAGTCTAACTCTACTGTCGTAACGCCTGCCCAAATCAAAGCAAAAAGCACCACCCTGCCCCCTGCTGGCCACAGGGTGGAATGCACACTCCATACACAGTGAAAGCACGTCAGTCCTTTATAAAATGATTATATTTCTAGCATATACAATGCTCACTCTAAACCATATTGGCTTTACATAACCCAAAACACACCAATTCACATGTGAAAGCACATTGGTGGGTGTCACACACTCCCCGACAAAGTAAAAAAATGGCTCCTGACATTTCCAAAAATTCAAAAGTTCCAAACATCAAAATACATATAACTCACAATTTCTCTCCACATCAGAAACTCCCTTTAAAATCCGTAAACAGGTGTAATGTATGGCATGTATGTTGGTGGCATGTACGCTGCAGGTTGGTATGTCAGTGGGAAATGGTAAGGTGTACCCCATAATGGTAAGTAAGATGCACTGTATGCCCCGACTGTGTTAACTGTAGGGTTCGGTTGTAATGAAGGCTGGCCAAGTGTGTCATAGGTCAACATGTTCCTCGGCCTTCTTTCCCTAGCAGATCGCCTAATCTCTGTGTGTATGTTTGCTGGAAGTGGGGTCACTGGTCTCTCTTCGTGTCCATTTCCTGCTTCTGTTTGGACTGACCAAGGTAAGTGTGCATATTCATGCGTTCTTTCTGTATGTCTTTCCTCGTCTCCTGCAGGTGCTGAAACTGGATCAGGTAAGTATTCATTCTCAGTGAGTTGTGTTTGTCTTTGCTCTTCTCTTGTAGGTACTGTAACTGGATCAGGTAAGTATTCATTCTCACCCCAGGTTTCCTCTCTTACAGATCCTTGGGCTGATCCTCTCTGGATTGAACCAGGTCTTTCAGGCACTTGGACTGAACCTCTCTGTTGTGTTCTGCTCATTGGTATACGTAGCCAATAGCCTCCAGTGCTCTGTTCATCCTCTGAATCGTCTGAGTTGTCACTCTTATCTGTCTGTTCCTCCAAATCACTGACTCTTGCTAGCCTTTTCCTCTGTCGTGTCTCAGGTGCTGACTTCTCCGGACAAAGAGGAGTTTCAACAGGTAGGTCGCTCACAGGTAACAACAGGTTGCGATGTAGAGTTCTCCTTTTCAGCTTATCTCCAGCCTCTGGATAGACAACGTACACAGGATTTTCAGATACCTGTTCCTTGACTATGTATATTGCCTTCTCCCAGTAGGATCTTAGCTTTGAGGTTGAGGTTCCTTACCAGCACTCTGTCTCCGGGCTGCAGGACTGCTCCTTTCATCTTGTTGTCATAATAGGACTTGCCTCTAGCACTTGACTTCTTGCTGTTCTCATTTGCAATCTGATAAGCATCAGACATTCTCTTTGCCCACTTTTGTGCATATCCCTTGGGTGAGACTAAGTCTGTCTCCCCCATCCGGCCAAATAAAAGATCGATTGGCAGGTGTGGATGATGGCCGTAAAGCAAATAGTAGGGCGAGTAGCCAGTGGACTCGTGTCGGGTACAATTGTACGCATGTACAATTTGTGGGAGATGGTCCTTCCAACGCTCTTTCTCCAGGTGTAGTTTGTTCCACTCGTGTAAGAGTTTTCTGGTGAGTAGATTTGTTGCTTTCCGTGTCTCATCAGTAGGGACTGCGCTTGTCTCCTTGAGCCTCACGACCTCTCCGATGGTGGGGTCTTCTCCCTGTGCTCGAACAAACTCATCGTCAAAACACACCAATTCACACGTGAAAGCACATTGGTGGGTGTCACACATGGGAATAGCCAACTTTAAAATATAATGTATAAGAGTACTAAATAATCCATGAGCAGTTTCAGGACAAAAACAAAAAGGTTTGACTCCATATAATAGATAATGGCTATGTTTCCTTTACGAATATATCTTAAATATTCAAAAAGGCAGAAACACATTCTTCTGTTCGACTGGATATTTTGTAATGGCTCCAAACATTATTATATGTTTAGGTTGCAGTAATGTTCATTGATTTACATTAAGTTTGTACTTAAGGGGAATTTCAAGGTTTAAAACTCAAAATGTTCCCTCCAACTGCCCCTCAGGAGACAAAACCCCCCTCAGGAGCCCCCGGGTTTGGGACTTTCCCTCCTCTGTGGTGCACCCATAGATTCTGGCTCATGTATCCATGTCCAATACATGCATTAGTCCCCCTCCCCTTTTGATTTCAAATCTGCCCAAATCCTCGCAAACTAGTGTTACTCTGTCCTGCTCAAGAGCTGGAGGGACCAAACACTGACCTGAAGGATCAGAGCAAAGCCTTTGAGTGGGTAGCTAATTCCCTCTTTAGCCCTCATCAGCTGTCCTCCGGGCTGGGACGGAGGCGTGAGCGATAAAGCAAAGCTCGCCCCATCTGGCAGAAAAAATACAAAATTAGCTAATAGAGAAGGAATGAAACTGCTGCAGGTACTTGTATGTTTTTTGTGCTGTGGAAAAAAAGACACTTGTCCAATCTTCTCCAATTCCTTTATTATTTTAACATACATTAAATTAACTTTGGGTAACTCTCAGTTCATGTTTTCGACTTCTCTTACTGTGTCTCTGTGATAATCCGTTGGCACACTCAACCCCTCACTCCACCCCTTTTCTTTCAACATCTGAAGCTAAAAGCTAAACTTAAAGCTCATACATGCAGACAGAAGGTGACTTTAGTAGAGCGGTGGTTAAGGTGGTGTTTATAAAACTACAATTTGTTTCCATACTTTAAACTCTAACACGGCAAATGTGTCTGCTGCCTGTGGGACAAATTACTTTTACCACTAAATAATCCAGACACTTAATTTGGTGCAGAGAAAATATATAATGAGTACCTTTACTTTCCGTATGAAGTATATTTTAATGCTAATACTTACTTTTAGGTAAATAAGATTTTGAATGCAGAACTTTTACTTGTATCTAAGTGTTTTTACTCTGTGGTACTGCTGCTCATAATCATGCAGGTCCACCAGACAGTCCTTCACACTCCAGTGGGGCCTCCGGCAGTGACCGGCCCGCCGCAGACGGCCACACATCGGGCTCAGCAGCAGACCTCTGCCTCGCTGCTCGGGCCGGTCTACGCTGGGACCAGACGCCGACGCCACGCTGCTGGAGGTTCGGGCCGTATAGCTGAACCTGTCAGAGGGAAGAGAGGCACCGGAGAACCAGAACCAGGACTCAGGGAAGCCCCTGCTACATTATAAGGAGAGCTGTTCTAAAGGGACTCTGGAGCTCTCGTAAACAAAGTTTCTTGTAGAAGATCTGAGCACTTCTTGACAAAACACAGTATGATACAGTAAAGAAAGGATTTCATTTTTGGAGATAACAATCCTTAAGACATGTTTGGATCAGACCTGATACCCTTCCTTAGGATAGGCTCAAGAGATCCCTACTAGCAAGTAAGTAGCTAAAACAACAACAACAGGTATTTGTTCAGGTGTATTAGTTGTCAGGTAGTGAGAGTAGGCGTAAATCTAGTAGCTAGCTAAAACTCGTGCAGTCTAATACAATAGCACCTTCATTATATTATAATATCCATATATATCCATATAATGTCGATAATGACAAACACTCCTCTGTATGATAGACATCCAGTACTGTTGTCTTAGACTGTGTCAGGTGTAGCGAGCTGTAGCCTAATTAACTGGCAACTGTGTGTATATTTATTATTAATAGTTAAAACAATGGCACCTACACAGAAGATACAAAACGGAGGCCCACCGAGGCCCCTGTTACTTACAGTGTCTGTGACTCTATTGCCCCCTGTTGCCCCAATTGAGGAGTAATACAAGATAAATTGACACTGGGCCCAATTTCATCTTTACTTGAAGGCTGAACTGCTCCTGTTTAGAGTGGTGCCCTAACCTATCTGTTAGCTCTAATGGAGGCCAATATATAGATAAGTGTGTCTTGCCAGGAAAATCAATATCGATGTGGCCCCTGATGGTTTTTGAGTTAAAGTGCTTTGTTTTCCGCCATTGCCTCGAAACAAAGAGGCTGTGGGTCCTTCTATTAACAATTCCCAGTCAACCTTGAGACGGAGTGTCGTAGTCGGAGATAGAAAGAGACAGATGGGGTGGGGGTGGTGGTGGTGGTGGAGGGAGGGTCGCAGCATCGCTACCAACACCACTCGAGCGTTAGATTTGGTGGAGGAGAGAAACGCACCGTCGGCGGAGCAAGAGCTTTTGAAGAAGAGTGTGATGGGCTGTAACGAGACCAAGACAAAATAATCTTTCAATTATAAGAAGACGATGTCATTAGAAAAGTGTATTTTGCAAATAAAAAAGGTTTGGTAAAGAAGAACAGCAAAAGTTTAGTATGTGTAATAGCTGATGCCAAATGTGTTGCGGTTATTAACAGCACATTTTGTTTTTGGTGTGAATATAGTTTTATTGGTGGAATTAAAAGCCTCATTTTGCAGTTTTGTAATTCCAGTTATAGTACATGGGAGCTGAAAAGAATACATCAAATAATTATAGACAGTGTGAATGAAAACTCTGGCAGGGGGTTGTGTTTTCCAAATACATATTACCATTGTTTTGCTTGTTTAGATATGAAAACTCGTACGGCAACGCGTCATTAGATAGAAATCAAAAACAAGAAACCTTCCCTTCACAAACCAAGCTATCCAATTCAGTCTATCATCCATCGATCAGCAATCCAGCTCAGTGTCCCCTCGCCTTATTTATGAAAGCATAGATATTAATGGAGCTCTGGCACAAGTGAACAAAGATCTTTTGTGTAAAAATAAATATACAATTGGCTAACAATATCGCACCCGTCAGGTTAGTTGTGTGAGCTGAGTTCACGCTCTCTATAACGGATCAGGCAGAATACTTATTGTGCATTTGAGCGGAACGACAAGATGACCAACAAACCATTGTAACTCGGCACAACACCGAATTTGAAGGCGATGATGAATATTAGTCCAGTCACAAAAATACCGCATTGGAGTTTACAAATAGGGAAAACATGAATGTGATTTCCAAACAAAGAAACTAAACGCATCCCTTTATTACACACGCAAGCAGTTATTCTATTCTTAAGCTCTCCTGCGCATTGGAGGGGCAACGGTTTATTCAACAGAGGACACATGCAGACGTCAGTTGTCACGAGACAAACATTGTTTACTTTAGTGCACAAACAGCATTCACACCGTTTGATTTAAGGATTGGGATCTTTTTTAGAGATGCTGGTGGCCAACAAAAACCACATTTGTGCTTTTGAGCTATTCAAACAGAATTGACGACTTGGAACTAAAATGTGAACTAAGGTCCTAGTATTTATGCTTTATGCTAGACGAACAGAAATCAAGCCGTCATGACTCATAACTTGACAAGCTGTACTTGTTCTTTAATAGTTTTTTGAAAAGCTAGCAATGGAAGCATTTTTTTTTGTGTCAAAAATATGACCCGATTTCATAGTTTTGTTCGCTTGTTATATGCGATTTTTTAAAATTTTATTTTATTTTTTTTTTACTTTTACAACACTTGATAATAAACTTAAAATCTACTTTGGAGCTGTTTAGAAAAGACATACTGTAATGTATGTATTTTACATGACATACAGTTTATGCTATTGTCAGCTACAACATAAGGTAAATGTTGATGCAGGAAAGAGTTTAATTCCAAATCCTGTATTCTAGGAAATTGTTCATAATATTTTTTCTTTCCTTTGTCACGCTAACTAGCCAGTGTTTTATCACTACACCTGGCTAGACACCAAATGATCTATTCTGGGTAATGCCACCAGTTACTTGTTATAGCTTTCATTAACTGTTGTGGCATGAATACATTGAGTGTGTAATATAAATCTACAGATGAGAGTAGCAAACCAGATATTTGCTTTTTACAAAAATGCAACAAATAACCTTATGGTAGGTAACAGCTTATGTGACATTTCTTTCATTTGTGAGGTATGCCATTTTGCAATGAAACTCTTAATTTCGCAGTTTGCACATCAGCCAGATGTTACAGTATGTGTGTGTTTTAACTGTATAGCTGCGTCTGTCGGTCTGTCTGGTGAACTAGGAGGCAGGGGGCTCTAGGTCGGGAGTCTGGGAGAGTACTGGTGGCTCGAAAAAGACGAACAACTATATGAGCTCGACGGAGACGGACTTGAGCGATGGACAGGGGGGTTGCGTGGTCTCCACAGCAACAGCCGACACTATGGAACACTCGTACCCTCTGTTGTGTTTGGACAATGTTCCCGAATCTTCAGACGCATGGTTGTCACCTTGCAAAAAAAGAAAAAAACATAATTTAGGGATTTTAATCGCAAAATATCCCAGTATAGGATATTTATCTTCGTTACTTAATAAGTAGAAAAAGGAATGAGGTCAATACTGTCTGCAAAGATGAATGCGAGGGTGTTTCATCAGGATGTTGCTATTGGTTTCAGGTACCTGTTTCTGAAGAGCAGGATGGACAGACAGCTCTTCTGGGACAGCCCATCACAGGGACGACCATTCCTTCCACGCCGTTTTCTGCCACCATGTAGAACTGCAGGTTTGTACAGTAATCCATTGAGACGTTTATTAACTATAGCTCTATTATTCTACATAATACTGCCTTCTTGCTCTTTGGAATTTCCAAGTTTAGTTGGAATTAACTTGCATTTAATGGAACGTTGTTTCTCTGGATGACTTCCTTTACTTAAAGGTATATAGAGTATACTGTGTATATATATGACAGTGATGATGGTCTTACCCGAGGCACGCTGGTAGTGGTGGTCTCTGACATGCTCTTATCTGTCACGCTGGTCTCGCTCACATTATCCACAGAGGGCTGTTTGTGGAAGAGTTTTCTAGTTCTGCAAAGAGAACAGTACAAGCAAACATGCAGTATTGTAATTCATTTATAATTCCCAAGGGTCCTCAAACTCACTGAACACAGAGTTTACCATGTAAATATTCACAGAATCTCATGGCATTTACATGGCAAGCTATTAGAGTACATGGCTATCAAGTCACAGGGGGGGCTTTACAGTGAAATTATTATTCAACTTCAACATGGCAGGAATTATGAAATTGACCAGTGCTCTGCGTAATCTGTTAGCAGTGTATGTCCTGCACCTTTTACTGCACACACAGACATAGTGCAAAAACATATTATTGTAAAAAAAAAACACCAATATTTAAAATGCTGTCAGAATACATGATGTCTCACCGACTTGTTTACCAGAGGCTACATTTAGGTTGAGAGATAAACTGCCCAAAGGTCTGTGTGTCTATGCTGTTAGTGTATTTTAAAAGACACAGCATGAGAAACAAGTTGTGTTTTTTAGCCCATATCACTATGTACTGTGTGATAGTTTACTTGTGTGTTGCACTGGTTGTCACTTTGGTGCTTTAGTTTCCTCCTCAAGTGTACTTGCAGTCAAGTGCAGAAGGCAATTTGAGGCAGAGCTATTGGTGGCCATGTAGCGTTTCCTCCAGGGTCATACCTCACCGGCTCCATTTTGTCGCTGAGAAATGACCTATTTTGGTGTGTAATTGCTGTAGAACAAGCTAAACCAAGCATGTAATTGAAAGCGTGCCTCTTCCACAGGGGAGCCGAGACTGCAAACATTTCGGCTGTGGTAGGTGGAGGGGAGGGGTTGTGCTTTGTGAGTCAAAAGAGTGGAGAATGCCAACAGCCTTGTCCATAAGCCAGCGAAACAACGGTAAAACAAATCAGCTACTTAGAGACAGCTCAGGTGGAAATGAAAGGGAGGATGTCGTTTACGTATGCTCCTCACTACCGCTAACCAGGGTTGCGTGATGCCATTTGTTCCACATGTGATCTGCTCCCTGACCCCCTGCGGCCATGCCGAGACCCCTACATTACATGGCTCATGCCACCCTGCGTTTCATAGACACCTCTAAATGCTGTCAGCTCATTCATTGTGGTGAGCAGCTCCTCCCTGGCTGTCTGTGCTGCCCTATGCCTCCAGTGTCCAGAAGACTATAAGCACAACACTGCTGACTGCTTATATTATACATTATTGCAATTTATCTACCATTGGAAAATGGGCGGATCACACGCACTGTAACAGAGCTCTCTCTTTAACCATTGGGGTGGAGAAGCCTATGGATCCAATAACAGGATTCCTACATTTAGCATTTGAATCAAAGCCATTTATAAATAGAATTATTTTGGGGATGTAAGTATCTCATTATGTCCAGACAAGGTAAGCTTTGCATCATAATATCCTTTGAGATAACGACTTGGGGAATGTATTGTATGGAATGCAGTTTTGAGGCTAATTATAGAACATTTTAGCAGAGAAAATATTTCTCATTCTTTGCAGTTATCAGTGTAAATGAAACATCATATTGTTGTTTGATTAGTTTTCCCTCCTTTCACCAAACATTTCCTCTGTGGCTCATCTTCCTCTTACCTTCATCCATTGTTCCTACTATGCTTTGTTTTGTGTTTTCTTAATCTTTGACTGTCTCCTTTTAGTCTTTTCCTTTTTACCTGTATTGCTTACTTTTCTTCTACTTCCGTTCTCATCGTGCTTCCTCCCTCATCTTCCTTTTCTCCCGTCCCTACTTTCTTCCTCCTTTGACTCTTCACAGAGTTTCCCTCAATTGACTCTTCCCATTTCCCCTTTTTCTTTCTTCTTCTCCTCATGAACTCTTTCCTTCTTTTGTCACAGTGCAGTTTTGTACGCCTTGACCCTCATTTACCACATCTCCTCCGTCTCCCCTCTCACCCGTAACAGTAGGTGACACAGGCAGCGATGGAGAGCAGGGAAACGAGGGCCACCATGCAGGCCGCGATGACCACGTTCCTCCTCTTCTCCTCCTCGGCCTGCTGAAGCTCCCACCACTCCAGGTCACTGAATTGACAACGCTCCCCCATGTAGCCTGAAACACAACTGCAACAGGAGAAAAGTCAAACAGAGTTTGTAGTTCATGATCACAATCTACATAAAAAACTACATGTAAGCTAAAATTATGTACTCAAATCATGGATTTAAATGTCTCCTGGACAGCCTCCGTTTGAGCTGGGTATAATTATTTCATTCGAGATGACATCCACAAAATGTTCCTGCTTATTGACTTGAAATGAAAAACTTGTTTTGTTTGTAAGTAGTTAATAGTAGCACTTGTATAAATATAAAAAAGTCAAATTCAGAATCCTCTGTCCTGTAGCCACTTTGTCAAGAGGTTATGGCTTTAATAATGGGACAGTACTGACACCTACTGGTTATCCACGGTAATGAATAGCATAAGAGAAAAGCAAATAAGAGAGAAGACACCAGAAAACCTGTAATGTGTGGTTATACTTTCTAACAATGTTGGCCTAATATGAATGCCGCTTGAAAATTAGTACTTTTCGGAGATCACTTAAATATTCTCCTCATTACAGTTTGAGTTACTGCATATTTCAACCAACTATTGTAAACTCTCTGAAAAGAATGAAGAGCAGCTTATGATTGTACTCGTCTTCTACAAAACAGAGGATCAAATCATGTCCGCTTGGTAAAGCAACATTATCTCGTTTGAAGGTAATCAGTAAACTGTTAAACTTGAAGATCGGGGGTTATTTACTTGCAAGCGTAGGACTCCATTTCAGGAAAGTAGAAGCAGACACCCTGGTACAGACAGTAGGACTCATGGGAGGACGGGCAACTCTCTACCGAGTCACTGTTGTGGTGCCGGGTGGAGACATCAGCAGGGCTACCGGTCGTCAGCCACGGTGATGTCGTCTCCAACTCTGAGGAGAGGATTGGGGAAATAATTTCATTGGATTAGACAAATATACAGTATGGCGCTGTTACCTTTTCATCTCTTTAATCAATATCGGCTGTTTAGAACACTCGTCCCCCTTTGATGTGACTCATGTAAACATTCCGTTCGTGATAAAGGGAGTTATATTACGTCCCATTAATGATAGCTGTGCTAGTGTTGGTTATATTGAGTCATACTGGATACAAGCCTCTCCAGTTTAAATAGTACACCTGATGATCAGTAGCAAGAGCAAACACACGTATCCTGTCAAACACAGTGTTTCCTAACACTCTAATGCAGACACACCTTGACATGTCTTCCCATTGCCCTGGTATCCAGCCTGGCACTTGCAGAGATACTTCCCCAAGGCATTTTGGCATTCTGCGTTTTTGTCACATGTGTGCGTTCCCTGTGTACACTCATCAATATCTAAAACAAAAGGAGAAGAGACCTAAAGTTGTACAGTATTCAGAGTTACACAAGTTTTATGTATACGTTCTACGCCAGCAGCTCATCAAAATGAGCCTTCATTCATTTCCTCTAGCATTACGATCAAACTAAGAAGAATGACGATGGACAATTTCTCCATAACGAGGCGTGCACATCTCTGATACATTGGTGAAAGTATTGTTTTTATCTATCAAATTAGTTGACCCCATAAGTTTTCTTCAGGATACGTTAATTTCTCCCAGTACACATTCATAAAAACAGAAATACTCACCCACACACGTCTGTCCATCACCTGTAAAACCATCCAGACATAGACAGGTTGGGCTGCCAGCACGCAGCAGGCACTGTGCATCTACATCACAGCGGAGCGAGTAACACTCATTCTGGTCTGACGGAGAAGGGGACATATGGAATCGTACACATTTAGTTAGAATAACATCTTGAGTGGGGGAAAAAAATTCCCAATGATTAGCACTGTTACACTGTTACCTGAAACCATCTTGTCTGTGAAGAGAGTTGCCTCGCTGCGTTCATCAGAGTTCAGATCAGGCTCCGCTTCACCAGTCGACCGCCCAGGTGCTGTCAGGGCTGTGCTCTCGTCGTGTGTTTTGTTTTTGGTAAACGTTGAATCACTGGATTCACCGTCTCCAGATTCTACACAGTGAAGTCATATAGTCAACTCAAGCGTTCATCGTTAGTCAGTTTTACCTCATAGCTCATGCAGAAGTATAGACACTTTAAATAAGCTTTCTTAAAACGCATCACCTGCTGTTCCATTCGAAGCGTCGGCGGCCAAGCAACTTCTTCCATCGGCTGACAGGATGTGGCGTGACAGACAGGAGCAGTGGGCGAACCCCAGTCTGCTTTCACACACCTGAGCACAATCTCCATTCAGGTGAAGGCAAACGTCTGCCCCTGAAGACGTGTGTGCAAAATGACAATCTGAATCTCAATCATGAATTTTTTTGGTTGACTTGTTTTGTTGCTGCCAGCCAACACATATATCTTAGCTTTCATCTCAAATGCTGACCAGCTTCATTTCAGGAAATCAGCCATCGATAATGAATGCGCAGGAATTTATTTTATTCAATGTTTTTTAGCATAGCTTATTAAATACTGTCACGTGGTAGAAAGACAGAGGAGGCAGCAGAATATACTCGCCACAACGCACAGTCTTCCATCTTGTGATCATCCGTCCTTTGATGTTGCTACATGCAGTGTTTTGAAACCTCAGTGTGTAACTTCTGAACAAATGAATCTCTAACATGAATCCCTCTCTGTACCTGGTTTAGCAAGGGGATGAACCACCACAATGGACGCTGGTCGGACCATGTTGCTGTGGATACGTTGCAGTTTTCTCCCAGTCCGCTTGTGTACGCTCCTCAGCTGCTGGTGCTCCCGGTCAGATATCCACAACCTGTCCTCAAATACTGCAAGGTCAAAAGGTTGAGCTGGAGGAATCACAAAAGAGGGAAAGAAGACTCGAGTTCACCAAGAGTTTTAAGGTGAGAAATACTCTATATCTTCTGATTACAAGGACACGCGTTAATGAGGAAATTCAACATATTTGAATGCTGGGAACAAAAGAGCTCTTTTAATTTCTCCCTCTTCTTTTACTCTTAAATTCTTAAATTCAGTTTGTTCAGTTTAGCCTCACTTTGTCAGGCTCAGTTCTGTTTATGTCAGTCTAAGGCACACTTTGCCAGGCTCAGTTCTGTTTATGTCAGTCTAAGGCACACTTTGTCAGGCTTAGATTAGCATCTACTGGACTCGACTTGAGGTCTTCACGGGTCCAAAAGTTCATCCCAAAATCCTAAAAGTCTCAGGACTGTACTACCCGGAAGCAAACCAGACCCGTCTGTTCATGTAGAACCCCAAAAATGTCGGACCCAAATCCATCTGAGGTACAGACCCAATCGACACCAATTTCACAGTCGATTTCTATTAACAAGTTAACCTGAATTTTCAAGGTGACGGATGACAAACGCAACTTTAAATTGAATACAAAAGATATATAAAATAAAAGTTTTGTTACCTCTAGCATAACAAAGATAACTTGCTCTTATGAACTATAATATGAATTGCTCATTGCCATGGCTGCTAACATTAGCATTGCTAATTTGCATTTATCTGGGTTCTCAGAGTCTGACTTGTGCTCTCTGATGATCTGACCCTTCACAGCACTTCCTTCACGATCAGCGCTGTCTGATCACAGCCGGGTCTTCTCGGATCCACTCGGGCATTGCACATGTTAAAACGGGCCCAGGACCCAGGACCCAGGGTGCCCTGTAAGCTCACAGGTGGAGTGCTAATACCATTAAGTCTTAGTCCTTAAGGCAGTGGCTCAGGTTGTAGTTTGGCCCGCGGCCTTTTGCTGCATGTCATCCCCTCTCTCTCTCTCTCCTGCGTTTCTTGCCAAAAGAATAATCTGTGACCTGATTGACTTTATAAATCGGGGAACTGAACCCACGCGGGTCCCTGCTCAGGTTTCAGTTCCTAGGATTTCAGGTAGACCCGTGAAGACATCTACTTGGCTCCTAATGACAAACAAATCTGCTCTGAATTGCAATATTATATAATCTGACTTTTTGTCAATACAGTGCACTTGTATATGCATGTGCATGTGTCACACAAGTCTCACCTACTTGGTTCTCTAACAGGACCTGTCGATCTGAACCATCCAGAGCAGCAGTCTCCACCAGGCCCCTCATCTGGTCGCACCAGAACAGACGATCCTCTGTGAAATCGATGGTCAGGCCGCTTGGTGACACAAGGTTGGTTCTAGCAATGACAGCACGGTCTTTCCCCTTCAAAGAACCACTTTCCACGACAGGGTGGGCCCCAATATCAGTCCAGAACAACTTCCTCAAAAAGTAAAGGGAGCATTGTGAATTAGCCAGAGGAAGTGTATTAGCCCCACAGGTGCTACATGCTATGAGCTCAGCTGCTTTTTGATGTCAGATGAAATCCCTCTTGCTGATTTGTTCTAAGTTTGTAGTTTTAATTTCTGAAACTATCACACTCATACAGCCACACTCACTTTGTCAAAGGATGAACTGCGATTCCTCTTGGTTTTTCCAGCCCCTTGCTGACGATAGTTTCTCTGTTCAGCCCAGTTAAGGTACTGCAGTCAACAGTTGACTGGCTGGAGGACAAAAGCATACAGAAGTGTCAAGCTGAAAACAAAAATCATTTCAATTCTGACAATGTTAAACAATGCAACTGTTTCTTAAATATTCTATAAAAAACATCTCTTAAAGTTTACTCTTAAATGTTAAATTGTCCCTGTGGATTAATTTGAGGTTTAATAGAAAAAAAACAATCGAATATGACCGAAGTATCAAAAGCAGCTGTCCCACAAAATAACATTGAAATACAAATGTTCAAGTTAAAACTTTCAGCACTCAATGAAACAATCTTTTCATGCTTTATCCTCAACATTTACTGCGTGCAAACACCACCCACCCTTTATCCGTCCAGTACATCCTGCGGTGGACCCAGTCAATTGCCAGACCCTCCGGAGAGTCCAAACCATCAGAGACAAGCACGTCTCTTGACCCGCCGTTCAAATCCACCCGCTCAATTGTCTTCTGGCTTGCACTAGCAAAGTACACCTTCAAAATGCATTCAAAAATATATGAGGAAATGCATTCAGTATTTAAAATAGATGAGCTTTAAAAACAACTATTACAACTATAAAGTAGAAAAGACTGGTTTTCATTAAACAGGCCTTCAAATGACAGTGTCGCTCCACTAGATGTCCCTGGTTGTCTGCACAAAAACCTGAATCTGGTCTTCCTAAGTAGTGTTACTCCCGAGGACTTCTGACATCTTAGGGCAGTATAGTACCAACTGTACTACTTATGCCTCTATTGAAAACATCTGAAATCTGTTTCAACAGCAATAAAAGGTCTGAGCAGTTACCATCTTACATTTTTCTGGACAGGGTCGTAGTCCAAAGCTATGATTGCTCCTCTTGGATCCTCCACAAGGGTTTGATCCCCAGGGCCTTCAGGATTAATTTGTCGTACATCCACTAGATTGGCAACCAGTAGATAAGGGGGTGGTCCTGAAGAATAGGAATACATAATTGTATGATTAGATGTTCTGCAGTAGATTTAAACCCACTATAATATGCAGAGAGTGTTTATACGTGTGGGCTTATCCGCCTCGAGCTGATGGCTTGGCCATAGCATGACTCACCAGAGGCAATGCAGCGCTTGCCGTCTTGGTGGAGCTGGTAACCAGGCAGACAACCACACTGCCACCCACTAGGGGTGACATGAGTACAGAGCTGACTGCAACCCCCTCTGTCTGCAGACAAGCAGCCTGCAAACAGCAACACAGTGTGTTAGACGTACTCGCACAGATAAATCTGTGATTTTCACATAGAGACCCCATTTTCTAATGACATATTGATACCTCAGATATCTTATTACTGGAAAGACAACATTTCCATGTAGTGTAGGGCACTGTCTCTTTCCTAATTTTACTTGCACTATTACGGGATAATAAAACTGAAGTAAATTGACTGCATCACTTGTGTGATCATTATCTGTTAAGTAGTAATGCAAAGCCACCTGATGACCGCGCTGCTGTGCTTCCAGACTTCTGATCCATCTCGCCTGGTTCTGACCACTTTGATATATATAAAATATAAATATTAACTATATAATATAGTAAGATATTTTTTTTATTACTAAAAGATTGCATAAAATCCTGAATATTATGTTTATTTTAGCTTCAGAATAAAGGGCTGATCATATAGTCCTCACCAGTACAGGCTTGTCCATCCTCCTGTAGTACAGATCCCTCAGGACACACACACACAGCACCCTCATCTGTTGTCAGGCATCCATGGCCACACTTCCTGGTCATATTGCCTTCACATGGTACGATTTCTGATTGTGGAAAGAAAATCAATATCAATATCTTAAAATGATTTTATTTTCCATGGAAACAATATTGGTACAAGTCTGATGAATTAAAGGTAAAGGAGTTAAAATCACAGAAACATAGGAGTGATTAACAAAAGTTAAAGAATTTGCTGTCATACAACTGTTCATTTCAGGCCATATTGCAAGATCAAAGGGATGTTATGTGAGCAAAAATGTTCCTGGTTATTTGGAGGCTCAGCAGTTTGTAGAATCTAACAGCCGGATGGACAACATGCTTCTTAGTAAAATCCCTTTATAAAGTCAGCCCTAACCCTATCAAAACAGGTGAACGTGTGATGAGAATGCAGTCAAAGCCCAAACAGTAAGGATGATGTGATGTTAGCTCACAGGAGCGTGGTATCTCCTGTGCCTGTGATGGCCATGAATACAGAGGCCGGCTGTACAGATATGAATCTGATGTGAAATAGTTACAGTATCTGTGGCTCTGCCTCTGACTGGTACCTTCTCCCTCGTGGTAACGGGTACAAATGATTGTTCTAGCCTTCCAGCTTCTTGCTGTTTTGTGGTACGTTTTTCGATACTTTGAACATTAATTGAATAAATTATGAGCAAACATGCAGGAGGAACTGTTCTATGTATGAAAAAGAAATGAAAGACAACATGAACATATAATGCTCTACTCTCAAAATCAACGAATAATTGGAAAATTGGAAAATCATTTTTTCCCCCATTTGTTTTCATTAAATCAAAAATATAACATGTGAGCAGCCTGGCTATATACTGTGCCACGTAATCTCTGCCGCCAGCTCTATTGTCTAGCCTCACTTGGCTGCGTGTCTGTTTTCTTCTGGACCTTGGCAAAGGTTGTCTGCTAAACGGCTTAGAACAGAAAAAGCTGCTGACCAGACATGTCCCCATTGCAAATGTCACCTCGTAATCTAATCTCATTGTGAATGTGAAGCTTCTGAATGTGAAGCTCCCCTGTACTGGTGCCTCACAGCTGTGACATGAGAAGAGATTGTCCATAATGTGTTTTTAGTATGTTGTAAATGTAAGTGCTGTGTATATACTGTAGCTACACTATGGTTTCAGAGTAAACTAATTGTCACCGAATCCTTATTGCCAGTTTATGTAACTAAATAAAGATTCTTGATACATTCCCTCATGACTGCACTACGTTTGTGCCAAACCATTAGATTGTCTGAGGTATCTGTTCACTAAAAATAATCTGTTGTTATGCTGACAGACAATAAACCTGCATTATGGCAGACTGAGGTAGGTAAAACAATCAACATAGCTGATCATTTTACCAGAAAATTGGCTGCGATCTGATTTTTAAAAGAGGTTTGCCAACAGATATATCGGTCTAATCCTAAAAAGAAATGGTTGAAAATACGTTTACTAACTTGAATATGAAATCTCTTCTTCCATTAACCTTACATAGCCTCTCAGTCTGAGCAGAACTAGACCTTTTAGTGTCACTGTTTTGACCCAAATAAATGAACACACAATTGACAGCTCACATATGTCTAGTCCAGTATGCTTAGCATATGACCCGGTCTTTTTATGGGCTCCGTGGGGTCAAAGTAGTGTCTGAGGGACAAATGCCACCTTTCAAAGCACAACAAAAAGAAGAGTGAACTTATCACTAGTGCTAGCTAGCTGTTATGCTTTAAACAACTTCATCTATAATTCTATTTTCTGTGCAACATAAAATGTTCGTACAACTAATAATACTACTGTGGAATGAATGAAATGAGTTAACATAACAACAACAACAGAAATATTTGCACTGTACCTCCACATGTCTTCCTGTCTGGTAGGAGGGCGTATCCTTTAGGGCAGGTACAGAAATAGGAGCCTGGGATGTTTTCACAACCAAGAGAGCAGCCGTGGTTCCAGTGCGCGCATTCATTCACATCTATGGCACACACAGACAAATACATTGATGTTTCATAATGCTCTTATTTAAATGCGTTGCCATACTTTATTTATGCTGTACGTGTTTATGTTTATGATGGGTAATAGACTGCAAATTGTGAGATTCATTCCAACTTTGGTAACGGGCAGTGCTTGTTTCTATACTAACTGGACAACAAATCTTTTCTTGATGGAGTTTTTCTTTCATAGACACCAACCTTCACAATAAGTGCCTTGCTGACTGAGAGCAAAGCCTTCACTGCACTGGCACGTCCCTTGCTCGGCTAGACTGGAGCACACGTTCACGCAATTTCCACTCTGTTCGTCACAACCTGTTTGAAAGGGATCAATGGTAATACATTACTAAAGTGTTATCATTTGAGACATGTCTAAAGTAAATGTAAATACGAGGGATAAAATGGAGAGTTGCTACAGAGCAATTTAAATGTCAAAGTTCAGCTGTAACCTGGAAGAGATGATTGGGAGTCTGCCATTGGCTGGTTGAGGGGATGTACCACCTTGATATTGACTGGGGGTTTTGCCATTTGTTTTATGTTAACATTCAGTGGCTCTCCACCAGCGTACTTGTTTACTTGTTTTATAACCCGAGAGGCTGCATCAGTGTAGTACAAGTGCTCCAGAAAAACTGATATCCCCAGTGACTGAGACCTGACCAAAGGAGACAAAAACAAAAGCATTTTATCCCAGTACGCTAACAAAAATATAGTGATAAATAAGTAATGGGAATACAATGATATGCTCACCAAAGGGGCTGATCTACGATGTGCAGGACGTTGCCGTTGTAATCACAAGAGGCAATGGCACTTTCTCCTTGTAGACCAAACTGAACCCAGAACAGTCTTTTGTCCTCTCGGTCGATTGACAGGGCTTCCAGTTGTTCTGCTATCTTAATAAGTGTAGTTTTCATCTGTCCTGTCACGGCGGACCGCTGGATACTTGGGGTTATCCCACCGGACAGCCAAAAAAGAAACCTGCAAAATATTAGTGTTGAACTGAGAACGGACTTTGCAATTAAGCATTGGCAAATTTTTGTCTTGTTTGATCGCTTTGTTACAAACTTGTCGCTGCTTCTACTAATGTCTCTCTTTGCTCATTTTAATACGTTGAGTCGTCATGTAGAAAGTTTGGTAAATTAATATATCGTTTGTTTGCTCGGTGGCTATAAAGATATGATATGGCTATCTACCTTCTCACCTGTTCTTTCATCATGGTCGGCACCTCTTCAACACTGGTGTGCCCTCCTCTCCCTCACCCTCGTATGAATACCAACAGGAATGCCCCCAAATCAGTAGCTTCATAATCGTTTTGCCTCATAGTCATATTATAGTAATGTTTAATACATTCTAAGACACCCTACAGACACGTAAGTAAAAAAAAAACATGCTCTTGGCATTTTATTTCTTGGAGAAATATTCCAAATGTTAATACAAATCCTTCACCGTCATTATTCACTTTTGCATATCCACTCGGGCATGAATATAGACAGTGCAGGCAGTGCGGGGGAGAGAGCAGGCTGGGAGAATGAGATTGCGTCTCAGAAATATGCCTAAATTCACAGAACTCACATAAAACAGAAAATGGTGATATTCGCTTTATAAGCCCTGGAAAAGGCAAACCCATCTTCATCATAGGTTTCATTTTTAGGGAGTGAAATAGCAATACATTAACTATGATATGATATGATATATACAATGTAGTGGATTACCTGTTAGCGGGGTCAACGTTTATAGAATTTGGTTGGGTCAAGTGTCTTAAAAGAGTCCTTTCATTTTTCCCGTTTATATCCATTGTCTTGATTTTTCCCTTTTCTCCACTTGTCCAATATACACGGTTCCAAATCCAGTCCACTGCAAGGCCCGAGATATGTTTGTCAGATGAGTACAGTTTCTGCAAAACAGACATTAAAATGAAAATTGTCCTAATCAAACCAAAGACGAATGATTAATTAATTGAATATCAAGTAAAATAAGTAAGATTTGAGTTAGTTTCATTCCAGGAAGGATCTTCTTTAGAGTCCTATATATTTGTTTACATCTGTTAGTGATGCGTTAGTGATGCGTTGGATGAGTAAATCTCAGACAAGTGACTGGAATCTAAGTTCTTTACAACTTTAATGGAGTTACATAATCACCTGTCTGTGTGCTCCTTTCACTGACGCCTTGTAGATGACTCCAGTGTGTTTGTCAGCCCAGTAAACTCTCTCCTCTCTGAAATGAAAGTCGAGCAGGATCGAGCTTCCCACTCCAGCCACGAGCCTTCTCTGGTTCTTCCCATCGAGGTCCATCCGATGGATAGCTTTCCCATGGCCAAATATCAGGAACGGCTGTGAGGCTTGACGAAATAGAACATTAACATGTCTGTCATTAAACAACCCAACGGCATAAAAAAGGATAAAATCAGCTCGATTGCAGTCTGCTTCAACATTGTAAACATGAGTTTGTGGTATTAATCGCTAGTTTCAAGTCTTCATCTGCCTGATGTCCATTTAGTAAAATATAGACCCAATTAGAATGGAATGGACAATCAAGCAGGATATGATTTGGGGCGTTGCGACATTTTGATCGACGGTTTGCAACCACGGTGTCCGGTTTGGGAGTTGTACGTGTTTAAGGCTTAGAACTTTAACCCTTTCACAGTGTGTTTTCAGTTCATGATGGTTCATTTTTACCATTTTGGTTGCCTAAAATTCCCAATTCAGCGCTCAGTTTTACTTAGCTCCACCCTCTCGTGTCACTTCTGGCCAAAAACCATTATAGCAATCGCAAAAATCCCGAACTCAAGGCATTAAAACTGCGGCCCACCAACCAATGGGTGACGTCTCTGTGACTACCTCCACTTCTTATATGCAGTCTGTGGTTATCCTCTATTGTGGAAATGTGTCAAGATAAAGCCAGACTTTAAAAATGATCATTTATTTAAGCACCGGCTAGTTAAATTTACCCCTATAGACCATGCAGTCATCGTTGTGCCATTTATTTTGCGCATATACAGTGTATATATATATATATATATATATATATATATATATTAATTAATCTATGTTGTATAGCAACACCTTTTGTCTGCTACTACAATAGAGCTGCGTCATAAGTCATAGGCTAACCTTCACTATGGACAAGAGAAAGAGATTCATGAATGTACATCAGGCATTTGAGCAGTTCAATGCATTTAGTGAACACAAAGGTTTCAGGACCGAGCGATGTGTCCTCGATTGATCAGGATTGTTGTTGTGAGTAGCGTAAAGAGACGACAACTATAGACTTTCCTGATACAACATTCTAATAGCGGGTACATTTTACCCGTTGGCAGTTTAAGGTATAAAGCAGCCCCCGGTGATTCTAGTATTAACTAAATGACTTCCAGGGACAGGGAGGTAACCATGGCAGCATTTAACATTTCTATAGCTTCTACTTCCCTCTTTGTGTCACGCTGCAGTTGTCGTTACATTTGTCAAATTATCTCATCAAAAAGCCTATTCAAGGCTGTCATGGGATGAAGTTCAAGGCAGACTTGGCTGCCTTTGGATAAAACATTATCCCTTTGACACCGAATCACTCACTCAATATTTTGATTCTGACGATATCTGTAATGAATGAAGTTGAAGGCTAAAGGGGTAAAGGTTATTTTCTCTTAGCTTTAGTACATAACATTCATACATTGATAAACGGTTATGAGCATCAAAACATTTCTACATGTGTAAATGGAATGAGTGGATGTCCATTCATGCGAGAAACACTGAGTTAAATTCCGTAATACAGAGATTTAGTTTGCTCTAGAGTCCTTTAAACTTTGACAAACTATGACTTGAGGTCAAATCTGTGTTCGCTGTCTGTGTGACTATTGATAAAAAGTTCACTGGTCCATCATGGAAATAACGCTGTCGTGTGCAACCATGGATACCGCTCTTAACTCTGTGGAATGAAGAAGACAATGAGAAACACCAGACAAACAACATAATGAATGTCTGGCCTGGGATCCCCAAGATGGCTACTGTTGAGTTGCTAGGAGGCATCCAGATGAATCATTAATTGACAAGTTCACATGGTGGTCAGCATGATTCTTGACCTAGTAAGCACAGTTCATTGGTTTCTATTGGGGGGAAAAGAAACGGGAACTCAAACCAACATTTTCAGTTTTCAAAAACAAAACAAGAAAGCAAGCGCTGTCTGACAGCAAAACCACACATATACAGCTGCTCCTAATGCATGAAGAAGACAATCGATGTGGACATTGATTTCCCATTTTGCATTGTGGTAGCATTCATTTGGACAGTTTGAGTGGCCATTTTGGATGCTAAGCCAGTTCATTGGGGTAGCCGATGCAATTTTGTTGCTCATCAAAAGAACCAAACACTTGATTATTTGAGCTGTGGATAAAATGTTAAACACTCAATAAGCAAAACGGCATGTTGACAGCAAGGGTTGGACAATTTGTTTGAGATTTCAGCATACTGTTTATACCAACCGTCGTACCGTCATACCTTTTGAGATATGTGGTTGTATTTGGCTTTTGTAGACAATGTTGTAAATTACTAAGCAGGACTGCTTCATGGCAGTATTGGATTGACATGCCTTTTTGCATCAATGTGTTAGAATAAATATATTGATGTGAAATTACATAAACCATTATAAAAGATTACATCCATACCACCCACCCCTGTTGACCGTACTAAATACATGTGAAGAAAATATTTAGTTTCTAGAACTGGATATGTAGAGTCATTTTATTGAATGCAGCGTACAATAATTGGCCTATAATTTCTTGCATAACCTTTAACGTGTGCCCCACTAATTTAAGGGCAATCTTTGCCCAGCATGGTGCAAACTTGAAAAGGGGCTTGAGTAGGACAAATACAATTTTTACTTGGAGCAAAAAGGTGTTTGTGTGTTGGGATCTTTCATGTTGCAGCCACACTATGTGCTGCTTAATGCTGCTAGAATGTCATTTTTTTTTTAAAAAACAAAATATTTAAATATAGTTTATTCAGGCTTCATTTTACATAAGGCTCTGGGTTCCAGCCTTTGTATTGATGAACATCCACCCTGCTGGAGTAGAGAAGAAACTAAACCAACTCAAAGGAAGATGATCTGTTGCTTTGACTTCTCTGTTGAGGACACAGAATAGTGACAAGAATTTCTTCCTGGGTGTTGAAAAACTATCACATTATTGCAATTCATTATAAAACGTTATAATCAACTAACTTAACTCTGCCATCTGGCATGACAGAGGTTAATGGTACAAGCTTTTGGACATCAGCGATCACCATCTGTAAGCTTCAACTGATGTCCTTGTGGCATCCCACGAAAAACTTGGGCTCAGCCTGAGATATTCCCGCTCAAGCAGAGGCCAGTCTGCTCTACCTGTTCTACACTGCATTGTATTGTCTGCTTCGCCAAGTTTACTTTGCCACACATGCTGTAGAGTGGCTGACTGTTACACTCTGTTTCTCTAGGGTGGGGTACTTCTTGTGTGAGCAACTTGTGTTTTATTTCACTTGATTGCAGTTTTGTTTTTAATCCCTGAACACCAACCCAAGACAGAATAGTAGCTATACAGTAGTCGTAATAGTAGTTTACTGTATGAAGTCTGTTATGTTGTATGTTCACATAGAGAGGAGAAGGGAACGTTTGTGAAGAATGGGATATTTTCCAACTAAGAAAATGATTAAACGTATATTGTTGAAATTTAAAGACATAAAAAATATTTTTTTTAAAATTTAGATATTCAGACATAAACTTCAAGTAATAATAATCCACTTATGATTGATACAGAAAATTGATGAAAAATAAGGAGGATTGCACATAAACAAAATGATCTCTGTGCAGTGTGGCTCTCTGCATTTGAATACATAGTACTATTTAGCAATATATTCAGCATCATCACGTTTTACACATATTTATTTGTGCCTTATGAAATTTGTGCCAAAGAATTCTCTAAACCTTTGACACATATGTGGAGTATCCAGTTTTCTGCAGTACTTTCAACATCCCCTCTATTAATACCATGAATTGGGAGTATCAGTCTAAACAGGAGAGGTGTGAACCAAACTCACCCACACAGCTGCTGTTTCTCCCCGCTCGCGATAGGCGTTCATCCCAACATGCTGTACCGAGGGCCAAGGCTCCAGAGCTTTGCACCATGAAATAGATCAGCGCTGCTGTGATCGTTGCAGCCAACATAATCGTGCACTCCGTCCCTGCCTCAGGAGCTGCACTTTTTCTCAGGCATTCCCACTATTAGCACTGGCACACAGGAATTCCCTAAAATTAAGCAACATTTGCTTCTGGACTGTTGGCATCCTTGTCCAAGGCTTCAACTTAAAGAGACAGCGGAGCTTTACATGACAGAAGATGCCTGCGCTAAAGAGAAATGTAATACCCCAATAAAAGGATGGAGTACTCAGAATGAAGAGTGTAATACTGCCAGTGCAGTGTTCAACAACAAAAAAATTGTGTGTGGGATCCTCCTCAGTTTGGCCCCCAGGCTGCCAGTCTGTTTTGGAAGCAAAGATTGAAATTCCTGACACCCCCGTGGTACATTTTGCACATGCTAGTCCAGCATTGGAGCAAGATCTTCTATAAGCTACAGTCAGTGTCTCAAGCAGAATGTGGACTATGTAAGAAATGAGGCAGGGCTGAAGAAAGGTCCCACATAATAACAGCATCTTCCCCTCACCCCACCCCCTGACCCATGTCCTCTCTGAATGTGGATGGATGTGTCTGTCTGAGTCTGTGTGTCTGGGAGAGAGAGACTTGGGGTGAACGTTGCATTTAAGGCTATTAGATAGAACACAACCCTAAAATATTAATTTATGTATTCATTGGGGAACTAAATTGACCTTTGGTATGTTTTTTCAAATTATAACAGCATTCATAAATAACATGAGTAATTTACACACAACGAACACAATAGACACACTGTTTTGTGTCCTGTGCGTGAATGAGTCAGTGTGTCAGACTGTCTCCTGTTGAAGGCTCCCGGGAGGAATCGGTGGAGTGAGTAATTTATAGAGAACGAAGGAGGAGTGGAGCAGATTATCCATAAATTGTTTGTCCTCTTTTTACCCATGAGAACAACTAACAGACTCCAGGAACCGAAACCTCTATTCATACTCTCCATGACTAGGATATTGTCAGCAACAATGTCACCAGTAACCTTGTAGAGGGGCAGTACAAGATGTACGTGGCTGAGAAAGTTGCCTCGTCTCCAGACTAATGTTAGCCATCTGAAGGGCATTGACCTTTTCCCACGTTTTCACTGGCAATGAAGATAACAATGAAAATGTTAATGTGAATAATTCACTTCAGGTGACTGGTGTGCTGGATGTCAATCACACATGGGTTTGAATCACCAGGTAGAGTGCGTATCTAGGAAACAGCGAAAGTGTCGTTTTAAATACCACCTCATGTCATTGCTTTTGTAAAAGAAATAGTTCCAGTTCTTCATTTCAGCTGGGTGAGTCACCTTCAAGCAGTTACAATACAAAGCATTTTAGACAAAACTCCTTCATTTGAATAATGCCATGCTGCCAAATCGTCACTCGTACTAACAATGTCTGCTGCCTAAAGCCTGCGATCTTCAAAAACTATATTATAGTATTGTTGTAGAAATGTCGTTAAGTTTGTCACGTAACATGTGTCCGTACCAATTCCATTTTTTTTAGTTATTTCAGAAAATATTATACTGTGTTTCTGTTATTATTATACTCGGCTGTTTATTTGGATATTTTTGCCGCGTTTATTGTCAACAAAACCAGGTGAATATACTTTACAAATGCAACCTTTCTGTCGGTGCACCATAATGTTTGCAGAAACTTGAATGAGTGAAAAGTTATTGGGTTGCAGGTTTAACATTTGACTGCCCTGACTTTATCAAGCTGCAATGGCTTTGTGCTTGACCTGTGGCTTAAAGGGCTCAGGATCAGCTCATTGTTTCACATTAACATCATGCTGACAGCAAATTTGCTTCCAACATCAGTCTCATTTATCTCCGATGTTACAAAATGGTTCATTAATCGCAGCAATACGATATCTTATCCTTGTTGTTCTAAATTCTGTCACTACTTGCATATTGCCAATTTTCCACTGGGCTGCTATATTGGCGCCAAGTCGCGGTTGCCAGGAGATTTGTGGTGCCAACGTAAAGCCTCCAGAGAAGTGAAGTATCTCACTTCCAGTTGCCCTCGGGATTTGCTTTCATGGACCACACAGCCCAGCGGCAACTGTTTCACAATTAAAGAGGAAATGGATTCATGGGAGGCAGAGCTCCGTCTGCAGATGGACTTCAGTCAAAAGTTTAGCATTTGTTCCGTCATAGTCTGTTTATTTTTACATTCAGACACAAAAGCTGAACGGGATCAAACAAATAGAGACAGAATTGGCATTTTTTCAAATATCAACAGCAAGTTTATTTCTGTAGCACATTTCATACAGGGGCAATTAAGTGTGCTTTATATAAATAAAAACAAAATGGGACATCTATGTATAAAATATGAATCAGAGATAACAAAAAGTATATAAAGTAGTAATTAAGCGAATAATAATATAATTAAATGATCCAAAATATGAAAGAAAATCATAGGCACATGAAAAGACATGCTTTGGCAGTTTGTTTGCGTTGCATGAGGCATAACCAAGGTGGTTCGTAATTTAAATTTTCTAATTTTTTATTTCATAGCAAAAAAAGATTTTTTTTCAGTTTCAATACCTGTTGTGACCTGTTGCTCTTTAGGAAAGTGTTAGTTCAGTAGAGTGTAATACAGAAGTGTGTGGAATGTTCCTTACTCTTACAATGAAACTTCTACCTCAGTCTCCAGCAGGAGGACTGTGTCTTGTCTTTGACATTTGCACTACTGCCTATTATTATAGATTGTCAGTGTGCAGTCAAACATGTTAATATGAAGGTGACAAGAATTATATCTTTTTTTCTTTTACTTCGAGATGTAGATTCTGGTTTCCTATAAACTTGCTATAGATAATGAATACAGATATTTGTGCTTTTTTTATTCAAAAATATAGATATGTTTTTGTTCAGTAAGGAGAGGGAGAGAGAGAGAATACGTTTTATAATTTTCATGCATAAATTGGTGACTTTTCCAGAGATGAAAACCATGATCAGAATCCACAAAATTGCACCATTCAAAATTCCCCCTTGCTGACTCGTCACCACACAGACTGGTCACCAGTAAAAACCAGCTCCCCTACAATATACTGTATCTATTTTAATGTATTGATCTGTCCTGTCTGTCTCTCTCTTCCCTCTCTCTATCCTCATAGTCCTCGTGCCTCTGAGAGCTATCTATCTACCTACCTATCTATCCATCCACCTACCTACCTACCCACCCACCCAACTGTCTTTCCATCTGTCTGTCTATTCATTTATAGTTTATCTGTTATCAACAGCTCGTGTCTACCATCCGTTCATTCTGTTTGTCCAAACAGCCTGGTTGTTGCCATGATAACAACACAGCTGTTGTTAGAGATTACTTGGTACTACGGGCACAGAGGTATCCATGGAAACAGTTTTACACATACACCCATCATCTTAGCAGGATTTACGGCAACGCCTGTTCAGATGCTTGGAGAGCGTGACAACTGTGACCCATTGATCTTCTCAGGTTCATAACTGAGACGTGTGAAATGTATGCGTAGCTCTGTTTTTTTGCTTCTATATGAAGAATTGATTTTGAGTCATAATTGATAACATGCAGCCTTTTCAAGCACTCTTTTCTTCTTCGTGTTTTTGTGTCTTAGCCCGAGCAACAGCATCATACACATGAACATAGAATGTACAGTCCACACGAAGACAGTGTATGATGAGGATAGCATGATGAGGGTACTACTGTGTACAGTACAGGGAGTACAGTTGGTATTGTAACACTGGGATTTAGTTTCAACTGGTGAAGCCCAGCGAGAGCACACAATCTGTTGCTGATGTAAAACTGAGAGATTATCTGAGAAACAAATTCTGCCAAATTCGAAATAGCATCGATTTTAAATGTCCATATATAATTCTATGGCGCCACAGAGGGCTGGTGTTTCTTGTGGTGATTTTGACATAGTATTTACTACAATGCGTTAGTTTCTGAAAAATGGCAAATGTATCTATTTTAATGTATTAGAATATTGCTGGTAAATTAGAGAGGGAGAGCAATGTGTGTACTAGTGACTTTCTGTCAAATATACAAATAAATGCCCATTAAAAACTGGCAACATTTTGAAAATTGCATTTGAGGGTGCACCTGTCTACTCCGATAACACAGATAGCACAACGACCTTAACAATTTTAGTTCAGTTTATTAAAAACAAATGTACAACTCCATTTATAGACAAATGTACACATAAAGTCATCGAAACTGGCAATGTTTATCAGACGAGACACACATTCTATCAAACACAATGAACATACTTTGTTGTCCATTAAGGCAACAATCAGCTTGATGCTTAAAGTAACAATAATGTTGTACATGTGATGGGAAGTGGATAATGGGTCTTATTTGACACCACCACGTGGTATTCATGTCTGACACTTAAACTTTGGCATTGGGTACAGCATAAAAGGCCACACACAGCTAACGGACAGGCTCTTTGTATGGTCCTTTTTAATACGTTAAATAAGTCCAACAAAGATGCCGTACTGTGGTGACCAGCATTCGAACAGTCTTTGTCAAATATAAGGCTCCATAATAAATAAGGACAGGACATTTAGTCATTGACTGACCTAATTGGGCTTTTTACATCGGTTCTTTTGAACTCCCAAATAACCTCCAGGGAATGTTTTCATGTTACCTACACTTTTATAAATGATTATATCAATCTCTATGGATTAGTAGTTGATGGAAAATGCAGAATAAATGTGTTCAATACTGCAAATGATTTCTTTACAGCCCCACTGTGTGAAACAAATAGATATGTATACAGATTTATGAATGATTTCATAGTTTATCAGTGTTATAAAAGGCATATAAAGCGTGTTTCATAAAATGACTTACTAGCAGGGTGTTTCTTGGATTCCTGGTGTCAGCAGAGATACTCAGAGCGGGAACTGTCACTCTTATAGGTCATCTGAGAGTCAATACTTGACCTGGAGCACAGCAGCATTTGCTCTGATTCATTAGTTGCTCTCCTTGCCCAAAACTCAGTTGGATGAGAGTTTAAGGTCCTTTGTTTCATTGAAATTGTCTCAAACTTGACATAGCTGTCTTTTTCAAGCTCCTCTTCGTTCGAAGCTGTGCTGTGTCCCGTGCAGAACAGAGCGAGAATCTTGTAGACCAACAGTGCAATAAGAGACACAACCAAAGCACAAGCAATGCCGCTAATGATAATGAAAAACGGGCTTTGCCCACCATCCTCTCCATTGTCCAACGTGTAGAAGTCAATGCAAGGATCTTTTCCAGCAGCACTACCTGTTGCTACGAGGCAAACCGAGTACCTCATCCCAGATGACAGTCCCTCGAGGAGCACTTTTCCTCTGCCAGCATTAGTCTCCAATGTCCTTTTGATGTCATCCTCATCATAGGGTGAGTATACCACCGTTAGTGGGGCATCATTTGGTAACCCATCTGCTATCCAGAGCAACACTGC